CCTATGTAGTGCAATCACATTCAGGCTACAAAAGCTTTTAAACTCAGAATAGTGTTCTGGAGGTGAGCAGTGAATTGTAATTCCTAAGAACTTGTTCTCACTCACCCCTGTTTCTCTCTCGCAAACTTTAGCAAGTGGTCTGCTCTAGCTTCTCCTCTCTCAGATGGTAATAATTCGTCTTGAAGCCATTTCACTAAGTTGTGGGAAAATGTGAGCTCCTTACATGGCAACATCCTATTGACTTGTGAAGTACTCACATATGCTGACAGGAAGGTACTGAATCTTAAACACATGGGCAGAGGGAGTGTGAACTGACAAGACATCAAGTTTTCAGGGCCCTCTCTTCTGTTGTGTTGCATAGTAGCCATAGCTGTCAATATTTCTATTTTCCACAAAATAGGATTCCAATCACAGAACTAATGTCTCTTCCTACACAGAGTAGAATAGCACATCAAAAGGTAAGTGAATCTTTAATTTTAAAGTCTTTGTTCGAGTTCTAAATTGAGCTAAGTAGGTGAATACATACACCAAAGATATTTTTACCCCCTGGTAACACTGTTTAGTCATTTATTGGTGTGAAATCTCTTGAGTGAAAAATATGAAGTTTGATTCTGATAGATGGCTTACATTAAACTCATGTGGTAAAAATTATCCAGTGAGAATCATCAGAATAGAGCTAACTTTGTTTAAAACCTCAGAAATAATATGGCATCCATGAGAAAAAAAATGGTAAAACTCACTAATTAGAAAACATAAAATATTATTAAAAGAAATTTTAAAAGGTGAAAATAAATTAAATAAATAAATGGAAAACTGAATATAATAAAGACACTGTTACTTGTACATTGGCCATAACTTGAAAGCAATTCCAATCAAAATTACAATGTTTTTGTGTGTGTGAACTTCACACGTTGATTCTAAAATTTATATGTTAGAGTGAAGGACAAGCACAGCCTAGAGGCTTCTGAAGAAAAACTGTCTTTATTTTAAAAACTATCACTAAAATACTCCAAATGACCAAGATTCTATTATTTCAAGGAAAGACCAATAAAACTAAAGAGTGAGCACAGAAATAAACACGTACAGAACCGAACTTAAGACACAAATGGTGCTGCACATGTGAGAGAAAAGATAGTAGACTTTTCAGTAAGTGTTCTAGGACAAATTATTAGTCATTTAGGAAAACAATAATAAAAAGTGGACCCTTACCCAATCAATCATCATATATAACATTAAATCTGGGTACACTGAAGATACAAAATAAAAAGCAAAACTACACTTTATATGACAATATTTTTATGCCCTGCATAAATGTAGAGTTTGATTAGACAAAACACAAAAAAATGCAAACCTCAGATGAAAAGATTAGTAAAATATATTAATCTATCAAAACTTCTGACTTCTATCAAAAGTCAATGTAAAGGAAGTGAAAGGAGAATTGCACACAGAAGATGGTATTTTTTCAATATATACAAATGGCAAATGATTGATCAATGTCCAAAAGATAAAAATAAAAAGAATTCACAATGTATAAGAAAAGGAGAAATAAATAACCAATAAAAAAGATGGGGGAAAGTCTTAATAGATAATTCACATAAAGGAAATTTGATCAACCAATGAAAGATGCCCAATCTGATAAGTAATTACAGAAATGAAAGTTAAAAGCCAAAATGAGAGATCATTTGTAACTCAGTACAGTGGGGAAAATGTCTGTCAACTGGAACACTTACATAGTACTTCTGGTGGGTACAAATTGGTAGAACCACTTTGAAAACAATTTGGCATTACCTGTGTACTCCATTGTGCTTCAGGCTTTGCATTTTTCCCATAAATTTAAGGAAATAATCAAATATTTATTTTGTATTTCTGTATGCACTGAATTCTATTTTAGGGTAACCAACTAAGTGATGAGAAAAAGTTATTCTTGATGGAAGAATTCTAACTAAATAATGCAGAATGAATGCTAGATTTAGAGAATTACCATTATACAACCTTCTGTAAATACATTTAGGTAGCTTTTGTTACTGTATTCTAAAACCATTTACATGAACCAATGGGGAACTTTCTGGTGGAGTGATCAGACTGACATCAGCTGAACCCACTGATCAAGAGCTCACCTTGAACTTCAGGATTAAAAGTGGTTAGCTGAAAAAAAATGGAGACTGGATTTTATCAGGCCAGTTGACAGGAAATAGAAAGATAGAGGAGGATGTGAAACAACAGCATGAAGTGATCAGTCACATGTAGATTATGAGACATTTCTTGGGATGAATGACATGGTTTCTCTCACAAATCAACAGCATAAAATAATAAAAAATAAGGAAGGAACTGTTATATGGTAAAAGAATTATAAAAGATAGAATAAAAAAACACAATATTATTTGGATTTTGATGTGGTCAAATCAACTGTGAAAAGATAACTTTAAGACAATAAAATACGAATAAGGACTAACTAGGTATTAGAGAATATTAAGGAATTATTTGTTAGGTATTTTCTGTTAAAATGTTATCAGATAAAGATTCATAATGAAATAGTAATATGAACAATTCATATAGGTGAAATGACACATCTAACATTTGCCTTAATATAAACAAAGATGTTAAGGTTATAGAATCTGGCATTTTTAGTAAATTATTAGTTATGAAGTGGTGGTAGAGAGGAAGAGGTCTAGAATAACATCTGGATTTTGCCTTGGGTTGCGAAAGTGGTGCCATTTGCCAAGATGGAGGATACAGAAGCAACAGCAAACTACAGAGATTAAGATGAGTTTAATTTTGAAAATAAGTTTTAGGTGCTAAAGAAATACACAGAAAGTTCTCTGAAGTAAGCAGTGGGATAACTGAATATGAAATAAGAACAACAGCTCCCCTCTAGGAAAGTGATCAAATCACCCAGGAAAATGTAGATGGTAAGAAACGAAATCGAAGGACAAACTCTGACGAATTCCAACATGTACAAAATAAACAAGGGAAGAATTTAGTGAGGGATTCTGAAAATAAAAAGGGCATTTGAATAGTTTTGAGAAGAAAGAATTAGCATAATGATTAATCAACACTAATCAAATACTGTAGAGAAGTTAAGGAAGAGAAGAGCTGGAAATAATCCATGGGTTTTCCAAGTTGGCAGTCATCGGTGCTGTTACCAGGAGTCATTCCATTTGAATAATAGTGGCACAGAACTAATTACCATGGGTTAGCGCCTACGTGAGCAGTGAGAATTGGAACACCTGCTATTTTTAGGAGATTAGCTGAAAACCAAAAGAGAGGCAGTTCAATAGTTGGAGTGCAAAAGGGGATTTTTAATAGAAATAATCTTTTAAAATAGAAATGGCTTCTCCTTTTTTAAAATAGAAATGGCTTCAGCATGTTTAGAGGTGAGATAAAGGAGTCAGTCAAGAGAGTGAATTTGAGAATTTCTAAAAAACAGGGGGAACACATGAAATATAGTTTCAGCAGAAAGAAGGATGGGAAGCATCAAAAACAAGTTGGATAAATTAGCTCTAAACAGAACAAGTAATTATTTTTTCTCTGAATCTGTAAAAAATTTTTGAGAGTAGGTGCATGTATAAAAGAAATATTTCACTTGGTAAGACTGAAGTTTTTTTTTTTTTTCAAGAAATAAATCTATTTCTAAAAGAAGAAGGTGCAGCCACCTAAGGCAGAACTATGTTGTTTTAGAAACATCACTGGAAAAAAGCCTGGAAAAAAGAGATCATTTGGTAGTTTCTATGTTTAGACTCAGTGTAATCTGTGCAATGTGAGGCAAATCATACAGTGAGAGGAGTCAGTGTCAGCAGTTGACAACAAAGATCTTGAGAGACCTGTGAAAATTTAGAATATTTTTGGATATCCACACCTTAGTGAAATTTCCTAAAATTACCTCTACAAGAACCCAGGAATTCAATTACAGGTACAGAAAACAAAGTCCTTATCAATGTACCCTTGAAGTTAGCAAAAGCACAAAAACAGATTATTACAGAGGGAAATTAAATGGCATGCCATACATCTAGGTGGGATCAGAAAAGAGGTAGGTCCATTAAGGTGGTGATGGGTTAAGAAGTCTTTAGAAAATAGCAGTAAGGGGGGCTCCTGGGTGGCTCAGTGGGTTAAGCCTCTGCCTTCGGCTCAGGTCATGATCTCAGGGTCCTGGGATCGAGCCCCGTGTCGGGCTCTCTGCTCAGCGGGGGGCTGCTTCCTCCTCTCTCTGCCTGCCTCTCTGCCTACTTGTGATCTCTGCCAAGTAAATAAATAAAAAAAGAAAAGAAGATAGCAATAATGATGGATAAAAGACAGCAGGAATGTCAAAGGAGAGTGTTGTTCCAAGTGTCAAACAATCTGGATATAGGGAACAGTTCAAGTAGAAAGCTGCTACCACTTCTGGATTCTATGGAAAGTAAAAGAATTAAAAAATTAGCTTAAGGCCTATTCCCAAAGAGACACAAGGGCTGATCTGTGAACAAACGGACAGAAAGGAGCAGATCATATGTGATAGGACGAGGTCTCCAGAGGAAGGGGTAGGGGTGCATGAATCCCAGAACAGGCCAGCAATGAGAGTGAATGAGGCAAAGGTAGGCAACGGCTTGTACTTTGGTTGGTGGCCAAAGAAATGAGGGAAAATGTGTCAGGTGGACTGTTCTTGTAGCTCCTAAGCAGACCAAGTGCCAAGTGATCCAAGAGCCTTATAAGATTAGCCATTTTTAAGCTCCATTTTTAATTTAAAAGGAAAATCACTGAGAATTTACTTACCTCATTTCTGAAAATTTCTCTTCATCAGAATGTTGATGGAAAAAATGCATCTATGTTCATTGCACATTTAAATTTTTTAAAATTTTTATTCAAGCCAGTCTTACCACATTCCATATATATATATATATATATATAAAATGTATATGTGTATATTCCACTCTCGGCATGATACAGAACATAAAATAAGAATCTTTTGCCATACCTCTGAGGAGCTTGTTCTCTTACTGAAGGTATGAGAAGTACATAAAATTTACCTCAAATCTGTGGGTTTGGGAAGAAGTCTTCTTTTTCCACTAAAATAGACTTCAAAATCTTCAATCTTTAGCCTGTGGGCATAGTCAATGTATCCTGATATCTCCTGCCCATGAGAATTTTTGTCACGAATAAAGATCACGGTCTGGTAGCACACACACAAAAAAGACAGAATGAAAAGAGTAAATAAATAAAAGTCATTTGAATATATTGCATATGATAATAAAATCTGTAGTTTTTGAGTGTTACATGTGCCAGACCCCATTCTAAGTGCTTTACGTTTCACCCTTACCATGATCCTATGAAGCAGGTATGATTATTTAATCCTGACACATGAAGAATTCATGAAAAGTTGACTGCACAGGAGTATAATGTACATTTACAATAATTTTATAAGACAATATCAATAATTAACTTACAGGTCTTCCAAAAGGCAGACATTTTAAGTGTTTATAGAACATTAATTTATTTCCTTTCCCCCAAATCCTATTGTCTTCTCATTGTCATAATTTCTTTAGATAAGAAAACTAAGGAACAAAGAGGCTGAGTACCTCACTAATAGCCTCACAGTTAGTAATCAAAAAATTGAGATTAAAACCCAAGTTCTTGTGTTTGTCTCTTAATCACTACATCATTTTTCTATCTCAATTCCTATGTATTTTCCATTATAAAGATATAAATTGGTCCCTTCTCATTACTGTGAGAGTCAAAAAGTCTCTTAATAAAATTAAAATCTCTTTATAAATAAAGTCACCTTCCAAATTAAGTCCATAGGTCAAAATAAAAAGTACATATTTCTCATTCATATTAATTCCTGGACAAATATCATTGTGCACTTACTACATATTAGATACTGTTGAAGGTGCCAAGGATACAAGACAGTAAGTACCCTGGCCTCTCAGAATGTATGCTCTGGTGAGGGGAGACAGACAAGACATGAAAAGGAAAAAAGTATTTCCAGTGAGTGATAAAGACCACAAAGCAAATAAAGAACATGGTAGATTAGAGAATGAAGTCATCAGAGAGGGAGAAAAACAATGAGAGACTCTTAACTATAGGAAACAAACTGAGAGTTGCTGGAGGGGACATGGGTGGGGGGATGGGTAACTGGATGATGGGCATTAAGGAAAGCACATGATTTGATGAGCACTCGGTGTTGTATGTGACTGATAAATTATTGAACGCTACATCTGAAACTAATGATGTACTTACTACATATGTTGGCTAATTGAATTGAAATAAAAAATTTAAAAAAATAAAGAACATGGTTGACAAGAGAATGAATTGTTGGTGGTGAAGTCTACTTTTGGTCCTCAGAAAACACTTTGAGGAGGTCAGTTTAAACCAAGACTTGAAGCTTGGATGAGAAAAAGTGAGGCATGTAAAGACCTAGACCAGGAGCCTGTCAGCTGAGGGGAGGAGCGGACACCGAGGCGTAAGTGGAAGTCAGCTCGAGCCAGTGGAAGAATGGCAGTCTTTTCTCTATCAAGCTGGCAGACATTGCTCTCAACTTCCAAGAGAAAAACAAAACCTAGCAAGCAAAGAAACAAAAAAACCTATTTAGCTGGAAAAGTTCGTAATGGCTTTATTTCCAGGTCTAGTTCAAAGTGCAGAATTTCATGGCAAAGTTCCACATTTGGAAGAAACTGTAAACAAGTCTTCCTTTTCCTCTCTGCCCATCACTGGACGGTTCCTTGTTGGGTCTCTGTGTGGTCAGTTGCAGGAAGCACTCATGTGGGTCACCTTCACACAGCTTCCAAAAAGGTGAACCGAGAAAACGGAAAGAATCCTTTTTCTCGCTGCACCTGAGAAAACATGTTGCTAACAATGTCCCAACTGAAAAACAGAAGAACAAGCCACGAGGTACCGTTGGTTGTTATTTTGCTAAATTGCATCTTCCTGCCTCCTGCAGTTGTTTGGCACTTGGTGCTGAGGAGGCCACGCAGAGAAGGATTCTGAGGCACGTCCTTGGCTTAAGGAGTGTGGTGATGGATCTGCACCGTTCACCACAGAGGCGGCTCGAGGTGCCAGCATTGTCTTTCCTGTGCTCAGTCTCACATTGATTCCGTCCTGCGCCTTCTCGTCTCCACCACACAGCTCCAAGTTAAACTTCCTCAGATTTGTCCATGCTTTCAGCCACATGGTTTCGAGCTTTTACAGCACGAATTCTAAATGGACAGTAACTCAGAGACGTCTTAAGACTTTTACACTTCTAAATCCATACCTAAGATTGCTATCTCTGCTTAATCAGGACCACATACTAGAACTATCAATGTTTCATGCGAAGTCCTTAAGGTCCTTGAAATCTTTACCCCACCAAGGCTGCTCCTGATGTTGAGGCAAATCTTACAGGCACATAGAGGGAAAAATGTCCCAAATAAGTCATCTACTTTTAAAATGGAACTCTATTATTAAAGATTTGATTGATTGATTGGTTGATTGATTTACTTTTTAGAGAAGAGAGAGTATGGGGGGAGGACCAGAGAGAGGGGGAAGTGGGGGAAGAATTTTAAGCAGACTCTGAGCTGAGCGCAGACCCCAGCACAGGCCTTGATACCATGACCCTGAGATCATAACCTGAGTCGAAACCAAGAGTCAGACACTTAACCAACTCAGCCACACAGGCACCACTAAATGGAACTCCATTAACAGAAAAAGAAACAACAACAAAAAAAACCCTCCTCTGTCTGCCTCTATCTTTAAATGAAATGGATCAGTCTTATTTTTTCAGTAGAATAGCATACCAAATATTGTAACTGACCTTCCTGATGATAGCAAAAATAAATTCTGGATAAAATCTAAAAAGCAACTTGTAACATGCATTGATGCACTGTCAAAAATGAGGAATATTTAGAGTCTAAAAACTAAGTGGAAATAGATTCCCAGAAAGGAAAGCAGAGCCCTAGAACCATCTTTGTCCTGCAGGCATGTGCCCAACTGCCGGGAATCTTAGAAAGGGTTTCATGATCTTGGGAGTTGGAGATGACAGGAGACAAAATCTAGCCTTTCAGGTAGAGAGACTAGGACTATTGCCTCAACACAGGGCAGAGAAATGAAAAAAGGATAAAAACAATCTTTAATGTGTCCACAGAGAAGAACAATGATTCCAGAATTGTAAACCCAGAGAAAATATCTTTCGAGTGGGCAAACCAAAAAATGAGAGCATTGATTGACAAAAGACTCTTAACTCAAAGAAATCCTAGAGGATGTATAGTTGCCTCTTGAAAAACATGGGTTTGAACTACATGTCTCCACTTATATATGGATAGGTTTTAAAAAAAAATACAGTACAGCACCATAAATGTATTTTCTCTTTCTTATGATTTTCATGTTTTCTTTTCTCTAGCTTCCTTTATTGTAAGAATACAGTATGTATACACACAACATATAAAATACGTGTTAGTTGACCCTTTATGTCATCAGTAAGGTTTCCAGTCAACAGCAGGTTATTAGTAGTTAAGGTTTTGAGGAGTCAAAAGTTATATGCAGATTTTTTACTCTGTAGTGGGGTTGGCACCTTTAACCCTTATATTGTTGAACAGTCAACTGTATTTCAGGCAAAAAAAGTGACTCTAACTGAAAGGTCAGAGATAAAGAATAGAATGAAATTCCAAGAAAATAGTAAATATATAGAAAAATATATGATGGAATGATAGGATTATGGGCTGAATTGTGTTCCCTCAAAATTCCTATATTGAAACCCTCAGTACCTCAGAGAATATATTTGGACACAGGGCTTTTAAATAAGTTATTAACCTAAAGGAGCCCATTAGTCACTAATTCAATCTGACTTTATGAGGAGAGGGTATTTGGAGACAGAGAGACACCAGGGGTTTGTACGCAGTGGAAAGACCACGTGAAGATACAGGGAGAAATGGGTACCTACACACCAAGGAGGAAGTTTTCAGAAGAACCAACCCTGCCGACATCGACATCTTGATCTACATTTTACTCCTGGCTTTGATAACTGTGAGAAAATAAATCTCTGTTGTTTAAGCCACCCAGTATGTGGTATTTTGTTATGGCAGCCCTAAAGAACTAATACACATGGTAATAAATGAAAATAATTAAGTAAATACAGTCAGTGTGAATGGCCAAGTGTTTAAGTTAAAAAACAAAGGTTCTTAGAGTGGATAAAAACAAAGGATATAAAACTTAAGGCTGAAAGTTAACTGATCAAAGAACATGCATAAGGAAATGTCTGTCTGAAAAAGCTGGTATCAGCATATTGGTATGAGACAAATGAACTTGAAGGCAAAAAGCATTCCTAGAGATGGAGAGTCACTAGATGATGATGAAAGATTCAATTCAGAGAAAGATAGAGCTATTATAACTTTGAATTAACCTTTGAAAAAATAGCCTCAAAATGTGGAAAGCAAAAATCGATAGAACTGTTTAAGGATAAATAGACAAGTCATCATCACTATGGTAAATTTATCTCTCTCATTAAGTCCTAGATCAAACCATAAATTCCATAATTATTATAAAGTTAATATACATTGTAAAGAATTAAAAACACAAGGGTGAGTGCTTGGTTTGTACTTAACCAAGTACCTAAACATCTTTACTCTTCAGTGTCTTGTGGGTAAAATGAATAATGGTGTAAAATTATATGTGTGTGTATATATATCTCCATAATCTCACTATTTTACATTATTATATACAGCCTTCCCATGTGAGTTTAAAGCCCATTGTCTATGGGAATTTGAGTACATTACTTTAAATCTCACTTCTCTAGCCTTGTGAGAGTTAAGTGGATGCTCTGTGATTTTTGTGAATCTAGGGGTTTTCTGAAGCTAGAGAACTTCAAGTCAGGACAAACTAAGTATAAAGTTCACTGTTTGTCCTTGGGTGGGTTGTTCAAGTTCTTAACTCCTCTCTATATTCTTAAGTCCTATGCTCCTAAGTAGGTTCCTGCAAAATCTAGCAAGTTTCTACAAAACCAAACTGAATACCTCCAAAACAAACAAAGGAACAAACAAAACAAAAACAGGCAAGCTTCCTTGGACCTAAGCGTTTAGTTAGCTAAGCTTTCTTGTAGCCTCTCCCCTCCTCCTGTGTCTCCTTCAGCTCTGTAGAGCAATGAAATTGCCTCTTGTCTTGCATGAAATGGCTCAGCTCATAGTCAGGTGCTCTGCCTTGCCT